TATATATTTTTTTATTATTATTATTATTATTTGTATTTTTTTTATTAGGACCCCAAAATAATTAGAACCCCTTTGAAAACCCCTTTTAATAATTAAATCATAATGCAAATAATGCAAATCCAAAAATGTTCATCTTAATCTGAATGGCTCCCGCAGAGTTTTCTCTGTACCTTGACGGCCCAGATGGACTGTTCGAGCGGATGGAAGAGCTTGAAGCAGAAGCCGTCCTTCTTGGAGGGTCTCTCGATGAGCTCGCAGGCGTTGAGCAGGACGGTCCCGACCCACTGGCCGTTCTTATTGGTTTTATAGATGAGCAGGACTCCTGGCTTCAGCACACACCACAGCTTGGTCCAGCTCTTCAGCGTGCCTCGGATCTGAAAGAGAAAGAGTGACTCGTACAGGACTGGATGTTTCCTCATGTGGGCTGATCGAAAGCTAAGATCGATTTAACCTCCTTTCCTCCAGACCCTGCAGCTCTTTTTTCACATATTATCATCAATGTGAGTATTACTGTGATTATTAGCATGAGTTGTTTACCCCTGCAGCGACAGAAAGACTGACAAGTGCTGTTCACTTTTTAATCATGCTTTCGTCTCTTTGGATTTACTACCAAAACTTAATGCATCGGTCAGCTCTGGATGCACTACAACAGATTTAATGAAAAATAAGACAATTTTGAGACCATTTATGCAGAGATGTGTATTAAATGGACATGCATTAATAAAGCATGCATTATTAAAACAAGATTTTGCACCATAAAAAAGTGTGTTCTGTAAGAATAAACACATTTTAATGGCAAACCTTGAGCCAGTCGGCCATGACGATGACAGACGGATCGGTGATGGTGCTGAGCAACTCTTTAGTGGCGCGTTTCTTCTCTTCTCTGTAGTTCTTCTTTTGCACCTGAACAGACATGCATGCATGCAAAACGTCACATTATTAGTCATTATCTTTAGTAATCAGAATACATATATAAGAAATGCACTGAAAGCATGCATTGATCAATTAATGAGTGTGGCTGTACCTTGAGTGACTCCTTCTTAGTAAGTTTGTTTCCAGACACCGATACGTCTTTATCTGAGCCATTATAGAGCTTGGTTTCTGACTGCAAAACCAACATAAGGGTTAGTAATTTACACAGCATCATGCACATTATGATATTATGAGCTGTGCCTTAGGTTGGGCTAAATTAATGTGGCATAATCCATACATATACATACATTATTTATACATACACACACATGCGCACACAAATGAAATTAAAATATAAAAAATAAAATAAAAAAATAAATTCATTGATTAAAAATATTCAAACAGAAAAAGTTATTTTATATTGTACAAATATTAAACGGTGCATGTGTGTATATATAAATTAAACATTACCTGATATAAAATAAATATATATAAATTAAACAAAAAATTAAACATTACCTGAAATAAAAAAGAAAATATTAAACATTATTAGCATTCAACTAAAACATTTCTCAATTTCTTTTTAGTTTTCATAAAACTGAATAAAAAATTTATAAAAAAACAATGCAGACATTTTAAAAAACACCAATATAAATGACAAAACAACAAAATTACTAAAACTTTAAGTTAATTAATAAATAAATAAATAAATAAAATGTACATACATGCATACATCAGGGTTATTAATGTTAAAAATCAGGGTTATTAATGTTAAAACTGAAAATAAAATTAAAACCAGAAAAAAATACATTTCTGTTACTTGAAATAAAATAAACATTAACTTTTATTTCAGATATATACATATTAAATTAAAAAATACATTAAAAAATATATAATAAAAATTAAATATTAAACATTATTAATAATAAATATAAAAAAAAAACAGCTATATTCAGCCACAACATTTATCTTTTTTTTTACTTTTAGTAAAAATTTATTAAAAAATAATAAAAATGATGCAGACATATTATAAATATTAAACATTATTAATAATAAATATTTTAAAAAAAACATATTTCAGCTATATTCAGCCACAACATTTCTCTTTTTTTTTACTTTTAGTAAAAATTTATTAAAAAATAATAAAAATGATGCAGACATATTATAGTATATACTGTATATATACAGTTAAAATACAGTCATAACTAACAAGAAGCATGTAAAGTCTGAACATTTTCTCAGTTCACCTTCCAGGTGGGTCTGAACTTTTAATGTTTAATTTCACCCCGCAGCTTTTCAAAGCCGATTAGGTGAGATATCTCTATGTGAACGTGGGTTAATTAGCCTTTTGAAAGCGCTCTGCCGCTTGTGTTTGACGGCTCTGTGATTTGGGATTTATTCTGGATGTCGACTGCGTCTTCTAATGGTCTGTCTGGATGTAACGGCACGTCTACGACGTCCAAAACCCACCAGAGTGACTCACGCAAACCTGTGACGCAACGAGACACGGTGACAGACAGACTGAGATTTAGCGTTTATGTGCGGTCACGAATCCGGCTTTATTTGGCCCAGACTAGCCATATCAACGCTGCGATGCATTTGATCACATTAGCGAGTGTGGGATGCTAACTGGGTTATTTCTGAGGCACTGCTCATCAGCATTCGCCCCCCTGCTGTCCCTTCCCCTCTGAGACGCTCTTGACTATGTATAATTAATAAACACAGGCTGATGACTGCTGGAGGACCTGGTGACCCGTATCGACCCGATTCCAGCCCCAGAGGATCATGGGTAGGGAGGATAAAAAGGAGTGTGAGTTTACCTTGCTCTTGGATATGGAGAGGGAGGAGTCTTCTTTCAGAGGCAGGGTTTC